TCTTTTTGTATGTATGTATGTATGTATGTATGTATGTATGTATGTATGTATGTATGTATGTATGTATGTATGTATGTATGTATGTATGTATTCCCAATCATTAGGTTAAAATCTTTCTCTTAGAGGGTCAGGAGAAAACATTAGGTCATGTGGAAATACCCCCTCCTCTTCTATTTTTCCTTCTGATTTGTAAAAAGCTTTGTTACACCATTAACAAACAGGATAAGGTTAGGGTAAAACTATTTTACTGTGTTTTTCATCATACAAATTGGTACCAAATGTTTCTGTCCAGATGGATGAGCTTGTAAGATAACAACTAAATCAGAGCACATGGAGAACCTATATGGACCATGAGCATCTTTCCAAGTCTTTATTAGTGGATAAGCTTTCCCTGAGAACAGCTTCCTCACCTCCTTCGTACTCAGGGCAGTTCCCTGAGGTTTCGTTGAGGCTCTCCTCCTCGGTGATGATGATGTTCTCTATGTCCTTCATCGTCAGGTGGTCCCGGAAGGCATGAAACAGCACCTGCTTTAGCTCGTCCAAAGACAGCTGCTGCATGTCAAACTGTAGGGGAACAGAGTAATCAATGCAGACAAACAGAAACATCAGCAAACTCAGCTGGAGGACAGGCATGTAGAAACGACATCAGTGCTGCGTTTAGTCTAATCCAATAAGACATTTGACTTATTTATAGAGGTACAAGTTTGAATAGATTCTGGCTAATACATGCAGCCACACAAATCATTAAAGTATTGGTTGTAATAAAAAAGCAACACGTTCACATCTCTGTGGGTAGTCAGGTTGTGGATGTTTTTCATGGAAATGATTTGCAGTATGAGGCTGTCACCTGTTTTTCCCCATACTGTCAGAGTTTTTGCATCTTTCTTATTCTGCATCAGAAAATATCACCTGCGACTCTCAGCAGACTCCACTAATATCCCTAGATGCATGTGCAAGCAGCATCCTGTAAACCACCAGCATGTCTGGAATATTTACATCCCTGGCATCCTGGAATATGATCAGCTTCTTGGTTTAGCACAACAGATGGCCCCACTGAGGCAGGCATGGCGAAAACTGAGCTAAAAGAGGGAGGCTGAGAGAAGGAAAGCATAAAGAAGTTCAAGAAAAGCCAGATGAATGAAGTAGTGAGAGACAGATGGACAAAACAGAACTGGCAGACAATAGTTGTAAAGATGAAGAGGAGTTGTAACAGGAGAGGATGCTCAATTTAGCAAGGGAATGATAGTCTTACTGATCTTTAACCATCTGATATGTTTGTGGAATCAATAAAGATAGAACACTCTTTTCAGTAAATCTAACCTCAAAGTTTGTTGTTCTCTATTGAAAATAAGGACAAAAAAAAAAAAAAACCCTAATCACAGCAAGAAATGACATTTTCTAAAAGTTAAGACTGGGTTTGATTCAAAATCCTTTCACTGGTATTTGATAGACAGTAAAAGCACTTGATATTCAAAGTGCAAATTCAAAATAAAAAGGAATGCGAGAGGCTGTCTGTGAAGGATACACACATTAGAAAGTGCTTCGTGGAGCCTGGAATCCATGTATATTATTTATCATCCTGAGTGTTTCTGTTAGGAACAGATTTAACATTTGAAAGTAGGCTCAGTCACTTTAGGTATATGTAAATGCATCAAATTAATCAGATGACTGATTTTAAGGATAGTTACATATAGAAGATTCCAAATTTACACCACAAATTCAGATCTTGATGTTTTTGTATGGAATATTCTGTGCAAAATTATTTTATTTCAAAGTTTCTTTTGCCTTTTTGATTGATTTATTGTTTTATTAAAGCAGCTTTTTGCCTCTATGTATACTCCCACACAATTACAGTAAACAGAACAAAATCAAACACAAGCACTATAAATATTAAACCTAAAACACTTTGCAAGAGAACAATTTCAGTACAGACAAAGAGATAGTGTTGTTCCTTTTTAGCATGTTTACCATTCTTAATAAACTCTAGAAGAAGGAAGCTACAGCAAAAGGAATCCATTTAAAAGACGATACTGATATAAAAATGGGAAGAGTCCTGAAGCATCTTTTTTTTTTTAGATAACTCTGAAACTGTAAAACTAGGAGTATGAGTAAAAATTGGGATGGGAAGTATATACAAGAAGTATCAATATTACAACAGCTTAGAAAGGGTTTAAAAAATATTTTTCAAAACACAGTTAAAAAATATAATTACCCAAAATATTCAAAGACCAAATTCATCTTTTGTTATTCTAAGACAACTTTTAGTAAGAGGCTTTTAGTTTTACATTGTATATTTGATTGTGAAAACATGTTACAAAGCAAAACAATTCAACAAATAAAAACTAAACACTTGCCAGACTATGCCTGTCCTGACAGGATAGCCTGTTTTGATCAAATTTAAATATAGAAACTAAACATAAAACTAAAAATAAAGCATTTTTGTTTCCATCGTAGAATTTGCTAGGTTTATTTCATTTTGTGTAAAGATTTTCCTGAATTATTTTTGTTTTTCATTGAATCCACAGTAGGTAATCTAAAGGGAAGTTGAGTCATAACTAAGACCATTCACTTTATGAGTAATCTGCTTGCAAACAAAAATAGTGTGAAGCATTAAAGGTAAATACCATTTTGTTGAGACACTGATTAAAGTGGCAGAACCCTGAAGTCAAACCATAAGCAGATCCAAGAAGGTAAACAGACATGTACAGAGCCTAGTGAAAGTATTCAGCCCCCTTTAACACTTTGACCATTTGCCACACTTCAGGCTTCAAACTTTTTTAACAAATAAAGAACTGAAGATCGGGGCATGAAAAATTGGCCCCTTTACTTTCAAGTTCAGGAATCTCTCTGGAGAAGTTCAGTGAGGATCTCTGATTGTTCCAATGTTGACCTAAATGACTGAAGATGACAAATAGAATCCATCTGTGTGTAATTAAGTCTATGTGTAAATGCACCTGCTCTATGATTGTCTCAGAGGTCTGTTTAAAGCTCAGAGAGCGTCACAGAGAAAAATAAACACACCAGGCAAGTCCGAGATACTGCTGTTGAAAAGCTGGATTTGGATTAAAAAAGATTTCCTAAGCTTTAAACATCCCAATGAGCACTGTGAAAGCCATAGTATTGAAACGGAAGGAGTATCAGATCACTGTGAATCTACAAAGACTCGGCTGTCCCTCTGAACTTTCAGCTCCAAAAAGGAGAAGACTGATTAGAAATGCAGCCAAGAGGCCAACGATCACTGGATGAACTATAGAAATCTACAGCTGAGGTGGGAGACTCTGTCCATAGGACAACAATCAGCTGTTTACTGCACACATCTGGCCTTTATGGAAGAAAGCCCTTTCTTAAACATATCCATAAAAAGTCCTGGGAGACACAGTGAATATTTGGAAGAAGGTGCCCTGGTCAGATAAAACCAAAATCCAACTTTTTGACAACAATGCAAAACGTTAAGTTTGGTGTAAAAGCAACACTGCTCATCACCCTGAACACACCATCCCCCCAGTCAAACATGGTGGCGGCAGCATCATGGTTTGGGCCTGCTTTTCTCCGCACTTTCTCAAGGACAGATGGTTAAAATCGATGGAAAGATGGATGGAGGCAAATACAGGACAGTTCTGGAAGAAAACCTTTTGCAAAAGAACTGAGACTGGGACAGAGATTTATCTTCCAACAAGACAATGATCCGAAACAAAAAGCAAAATCTACAATGGAAAAGGTTCACAGATAAACATAACCAGGTGTTAGAATGGCTAAGTCAAAGTCCAGACCTGAATCTGATCGAGAAAACCGCTTTTCTCAAACGCTCTCCATCCAACATCACTGAACTCAAGCTGTGTTGCAGGAAGAATAAGCAAAAAATTAAGTCTCTCTATGTCCAAAACTGATAAACCCCAAGCGACTTGCAGCTGTAATTACAGCGAAAGGTTGTGCTACAAATGTATTAACTCACGGGGACTGAATAATTTTACACACCCAATTTTTCTGTTTTTATTTGTTAAAGTTTTGACTATCCAATAAAGTTCATTACACTTTATGATTGTTCCCCACTTGTTGCTGATACTTCACAAAGAATTACAATTTATATCTGTATGTTAGACTGCTTACATAAATCAGAATAATTAAATGTTGCTCATAATTCCTATGGAATAAGCTTGAAAGCAGGACACAAAACAACCGTTAGAAACTGAAATGTATGCAAATACAGTGATCAAAGTCCTTCCAATTCATTTTTGTGCATTTAGAAGAAGCTTCATCAGGTCTGCAACTGCCTTGGAGATTATATTTTACAAATGTACAGTATATGCATGCAACGTGGCAACATTATCTATATTCACTTCTTGGTTTTTGGTTTCCTTCCTTTCAGAAATGTCTCAGCATCAAACAAGCAATAAAAAAAAGGAAAAGGTGTTGATAAGCAGAACAGTTGCAGATGATATGATAACTGAAAGCAGGAAAAAAGGATGCTCCTTTCTGCCTATGTGTCTGCATGGAGACCCACTACCTGTTACCAACAAACAGATTTTATTTTCCCGTGTTCCGTCTTTAAACGACACAGTGAAACAGGGTTAAAACAAATGTAGTTTTCTTGTCCGTCTGTTCTGCATTATTTGAACTAACATGTGACTCGTGTTCATGCATGTGATCAAGCGGTTACCAGGGGCACAGCAGGGGTACTGTGACCAGGCGCCCAATGACAAGTAGAAGGAGCCAAGACACATCAATCAGAAGAGCAGGTGATAACACGCCGTCCTTCCTATTTAATCCTCCAGGCTTTTAAACAACAGAGGCTTGTTTCGTCAGCCCCTCCACCTGCTTTGTCTTCTGACCCTTCTCCGAAAAGTCACCAAGACTGACTGGCTGCAGTCAGTTATTGTTAAACTCTGGTGCTGGGGTCTTTGAGTTCAAATAAAGTTTATGTTGTGTTATAACAGCAGGGCCTAAACAAACAGTAAACATTCCAATTTAGAAAAACATAAAAAAATAGATCCACTCATTTTAACACAGTAGTTTGAAAATAAAAAAAACACCACTTAGTACTTGGATGCCACATAGAGGTATTTCTACATAGAGTGCTGCACTGCAGATTGAAGCATCAATTAAAGGGCAGGCATTATATAACGCGAATGATACATTTTTTATAAGTTTCACTAGAAAATGGATCGCAGAAGTCTTAAACAATTGAAAATGTATGATATTAGTTTCACTCCATCACCTTCTTTGACTCATTGTTTGACTTTTGTCATAAATTTTTGTACAGTAATCTCATCGTCATATTATTTCTTTGACTTTCATTTGACCATTTTTCCCCAAGTTTAATGATGATAGTTCAACAATAGTTGAATGCACAGGTTTGAAAACATAATGGATTTCTCCAAATTTACCTTAGATAAACTATTACATAACTTCTGAACTATATATATAAATGCTAGGGGTGTAATATAGTGGCCAAGGACTGGAAGTGCAATGCAAATACATAATTATGCAACATGTACAAAACGTACAGCTAAGACAAAAATCCAGCTTGCGAATTTGACTAACTAATGCAAAGAAAGAATGCTGCA